AGGTAGTACAGGCCGGACCACGCGCCACGCGGCTGCATGGAGTAACTAATACTTGCACACTGACTGCAACGGGAAAGTGCAAGCACGTGTAGTACAATGCAGTGCTTGCAGATCTACGTAGCATGCACCCAGTCTGGGCTGAGGGCAGTCGTGGTTGTTTGATCATACAATGCATGCCAAGCCAGACCCATGGGAGAGGTTTTTGAGGGGGTGCTTTGGCACCCAAAGCACCCCCCCCCCCCCTGCTAACGCCCCTGAGTCCTGGGGCTCGCACCCCCCCCCCCCCGACCAGACAGATTAGAGTAGGTCCAAGAGGAGTTGATGGAGGACCGGCACACCAACCTTCAGCAGCTCCGGCACAATCTCTGACATACCACCAGCTTTGCCATTCTGTAGGTGTCTAATTGCCTGAGTCAGCTCATCCTCCGATGGTGACAGTGAGAGGGCGTCCTCGACCTCACGCAGCAGCTTGAGGATAGCTTGAGGACGCAGCAGCTTGGGATAAGTTGGAAGACATGCGAATCACGGCGTACACACTGCAGACATTCAAGACACCCAAGAAATGCCCATGCCATGTGGACTGCTGCTCCTGAACAGATTCGCAAAGAACTCCATCCGCATTGCGGATGGATTTGACGCACAGGGGTTGCAAGCTCCCAAAGCAGCGTTGCATGTCGCGAATGGCAGACCAGACAGCTTTGCCACTGAAACGTGCACGGTGCACCACCGCCGCTTTGTCCATCAACCGGGGTGTTTTTGTCTTCCGAATACTAGCACGAGCCCAGCCAAGCGCTTCTTTAAAAGCCCGGTGATCAGAGTGCCTGCCGCTTCTCAGCCGTTGGATATACAGGGTATTACGAGACTCCAGTAGAGGCTCCAATACAAGGGCATTGTCACGGAACCAATCTGGCATCCGCCGCTTGTCCCGACTAACCACCTGCTCCGCCGCGTCAACAACAGCCGACTTCACGGTACACCAATTACAGTCCACAGACAAGGCGCGATCATACGTGGATAAACGAGATTCAAGACTAGCACAGTACTCAATACGTACAGTAGGCACACGCTCAGCCTCCTCTTCACTCGTGAATGGCTTCCGATTGAAATGGTGAACACCAAAATTCCGCGGTCTGGAACGAGCATCATGATGGTACGGTTGCTGCACAACGTCAGGTAGCCGGTATTTCATGCGGACAAGACGGTGGTCTGTGCTACACTCTGCAGTGCGCATCACTTGACAGTCCATGCAACGTTTACGGTGTTGTTGGCGTACGAACACATAATCTATACAATGCCACTTCTGTGATCCTGGGTGTTGCCAGGTGTACATGTGAATGCGTTTCTTGGGAAACAATGTGTTACAGACTGTGAGCTGTGGACACTTCAAGAATGTGAGTAACCGTTAGTCTATGATCAACATCGTTCACATCACCAACACCATGTGATCCAAGCACTCTCTGCCACATATCTAGTTACTGTGAGCCAAAACCAACACGAGCGTTGAAATCCCCCAGGACACTCTATGTTGGCTCTATGTTGAGCCAACACACGTGCTCTATGTTGACCCACCATACGCCAGCACCCGTAAAACTCCAAACTCTGTGCCCTGTGTGTTGGTGTACTTCATAGTGGTGTAGCATCTGCATGTGCATGTGGGATGTGGGCTAACATTCAGAAATGAGATTGTCGGCATTGACCCTTAGATTTGCTGGGGGTGAGCACTCCATCGTTGAGATCGCTGGTCGTTGACTGATCTGCTGTTCCGTCAGACTGCTGCATATCCACTGAGTTCCCAGACCTAGGGTACTTGTGGAAGTTCCATTTTCGACTGTAGTACGAAGATGGCCAAAAACCTTCGTATTTACAAAGTCAATGCTCCTTGGAGTGACGTTTGATGCCCATCTATCATACTCAGAGCATCTTCGAGGAACTGCAGTGCGTGCCACACAGCAAATTGGTTTCTTCCGGAAGGCGTGCCATGTCCTGGACCCACCGGGCCGGGCCACAGCATACCGGGGGTTCATTCGGCCTCTAATGGAGTACTGCCCACTTGTATGGATGGGAGCTGCGGCTACCCATCTCTCACAGCTGGATCGAGTCCAGCATCGTGCCCTAACCCTGATTGGGACAGGGGCTCCAATGGACACTCTGTCCCTGCGGCGCCGTGTGGCCGGCCTCACAACCCTGTACAAGCTGAATTACATAACAAGCCCACCAGCTCTTTCAGCGACACTCCCAGCCAGAGCCATCGCACCCGCCATCGCGCCTGCCACACATCGCCGCTCGGCAGCCAACCTTGCGGACGAGCTTCAACTCCAGACAGCCCTACCTGCCAGATCTTGCAATTTTGCGCTGCGCTCTTTCCCGGAGTGCCTCATCGAAGCCTGGAATGAACTGCCAGCCACTCTCCTCCACGATGCATTGTCTCCCAAAGGGATGCAGCAGTTCAAGGTTCTGACCTACCGCTACCTGAAATGGTCTGGGTGGTCATTGGCCACGGACATCGCCACCTAGGCTACTGCCAGTGTGACCCTGTTCCTGTTCTCGGAGCACATACAGATAAGGCACGGACGTTTACTCTCATCAAACTCCCAATCCATAATATACTATGTCCTTATCTATCTCTAACTCTCCTCCATTCTCACCCTAATCTTTCGTCAAAACTGCACGGCAATCAGCCTCTACTTTCACCTCAACATCATGCTCTTGATACTGCTATCTTTGTACTTGTTTGCGTACTTGTCTGCACTCATATCTTGGAATAACTCGCAAACTAACAAGTTTCCTGGTTTCCTCCCCTCCCTCCTCTCTTTCCCAACCTCAGAGTTCTTGCTCTCCTGCTCCCTGCCCTTCCACTCCCTGTTTAGTTTCCTTTGGTGCACATGTGCAGCTGTGATTCCGAGACCCTTGGTCGGCTGAGCTTCACAGGTCCCACCCACTCCGTCCTGCTGGATATGTACCCTTGTGTCGAGTTCTCCTCCTCCTTTTAGTTCATCATGCAGTGAGTGTTCATTAGTAAAAAATAAAAAATAAATAAAAAAATACTCGTCCTGTTGAGAATGAGTCAGGCTGAGTGACCTTTCTCCTTGGGAAATAGCGTGCAATCATGGATTTGCACCTTCACGCCAGCCTCTTGCGCCCTTCGTTATACGTATTGACAAAGGGTATATGCATCGCAATCCTTCCGGAGGTTGCCCACTAACAGAACAGCCTTCCTTCCTTTTGGCTTCTTGGTGCAGACCAGCTGCCATAATTTGCTGCCTTCTGCATCCTCTTCGAAAGTAGGGAGCATTCTGGAAAGTCCTTGTTTGTCAAGTTTGGCATCAGTTGGAGTATCTGGGTCCATTTGATGCACCCTGGACGCTTCGCTCACGCTGGTAACTTGTTCGCTACGTACAACTGAGGAGCAGGATTCAACCGAATATCGTACTAGTTCCTTCTGAGGGTAGCCAGCTACGGGTACGGGTGCGCCAGGGCTGGAAGCTGCAACACGCTTCTGTTTCTTCTGGGATGATTTTTGCACCGAGGGAGATCCTTGGCGTCTTTGGCTGCCATTACTTTCGTCTTGAGCAGACTGGAAAGCCGTCATCTCGTGTGTGAGCTCTTCTACCTTCCGCGTAAGGTGGTCGCAACGGTTTAGAAGTCGTTTCTCCCTGTCTTCAGCTGCACTGCGGTCTAGCTCCAGCATTTCAACGATCTTCGGAAATTAAAAGATTTCTCCATACTCTGGTTTGAACTTGCCGTTTCGAACGTGGGGGACACCAGATCTGCCGGACACTCGACACCTACTGGCACGCCTGTCGCTATTGCCCAGGACAGTGTTGTACCTGGCATGGGACGGTCTCTACACAACTAAAAAAAGCCCAAAAAAAGCCCAGACGGGGACAACTGTGTGAGGGTAGGCTCGACACGGGTTGTTTAAGGAAGGGACTGGAAGTTCATTTACCAGTTGGTGCGCGTGGGCATTACATCTTCGAAACGTACTACGGGTGGAATGGGCTGTTTGGTAGTGGGGCTGCTGGGGTGTCAACATCCTCTCTAGAAGGGGATCTGCATCTGTACATTGCATATTGTACAGGAGGCAAAGGTAGGTTCCCTCACCGATTAGGCGATGGCCACCCGGTTGGAAGAGGGGAGCCAGAGCGGTTTGTGCAGCGCTCATCCACACGACAATGCCATTCGCCAGGACGGGGGGGGGGGGGAGCGCTTGTAGATCATACAATGGCACCTGGAGTCCAGCACTCGAGAGGGTTTCCGGAGGAAGCATAGATGCTGCGATCATCGAATTGCCAACGTGAAACCATATACCAGATCTCTTCAAGACATTGGACTTACGAGCACGTTTGAGGTGACGCTAGTAACTCATTTAATGTTTTCCAGGCTAATGAAGCGAAGGAAACCTGCTCGTTATGTTGATAGGACAAACCTTAGGCTCTTCAACAACATTCATAGTAATCTAATGGTTTCGCGAGTAAACGTCCGTACCTTCTCCTCAGGTGATATAAAAGCAGGAGCAAACAAGAGCAAATACAATGCATTATGTACAACAATGAGGTGATAAAACCGGGTCAAAGTAGAATAGTTAAAAACAACGGTGATAAATGCATGACCAATATACATCATGCATATCCATAATCCATTGTTCTTGCTCCCGTTTGCTCGTGCCGCTATATCACCTTGTTGATGAGGAAGGAGACAATGTACGGGAGAAGGAACGTAACAACATACAGATAAGGCACGGAAGTTTACTCGCACAAAACATTAATTTTCATAATGATGTTGAAGAGCCTGAAGTTTGTGCTACTACTTAGTATTATAGCATATTTGAATCGCACGAAACTTTTTGTGGACATATTTTGTAAAATATAATTGCCAATTGTTAATTTCTAGCGTAAAGCAGACCCACAGGCATGGTCAATACCCACTGAATTTATTCACCTGCGTAATTCTTCGTTCTACTCATATACAAACAAGAATGCATCACGGATAATATGACTTACATTATTCTTTGGTTCCAACGAATGTCCAGAAGTGAGAAGATATTCTACTACAGAAATATGACCACTACATGCTGCATAATGTAATGGTGTTTCATCATCCTGGAAGTAGCATCAAAATAAAAGACAAGACATGTACACACATACCCACAGTCATACACATGTTGATGCACACGCACGCACGCACGCACACACACACACACACACTCATGCATGCATGCACTCACACACAGACACATCCAAAACACACACACACACACACACACACAGGACTCCTTTGTGGGACCCCTCAGAATTCTCTCCCCTCTCAGAATTCCCTTGTGGGACAAAACAAAGACTGATTATCTACAACGAGCATGCGTATAATAGATGACAGAGAGACAATACGGAGAGAGACAATACGGCGACAAGAACTATACACAACATCTCCTGCTGGTGATAGACCGGAGTGTGGCAGGAAGCCCTGGATTGCACGGAGGTGTTGCACTGGTTGCGGGCGATACCCTGGAGCAGCAGGTCCAGTCGCCCCTCCTGGAACTTGGGCAACGACAGGGGGTTGACCACGAAGTAATGCCGGAGGCCATGGACCTTGATAGTTGCCAGCCGGCACTAATTGCAAGTAATTGGTCCAATGTCGAGTGGGCTGTGAGTGTTTCCAAAGGATTTTCGTTTGTCCATGGCACGCAGGGACCTGAAGGTGTATGAATGCCTTGATAGGATCCGGGCACTGCGATCAGCAGCCGGCACCAGAGTTGGTGCAGTGTCCGCAGCTGCCACATTTTTGCAAGACAGTGTTGCCATGCCATCACCACGGCTTTGCTACCATTGTAGAGAACCGAGCCGCTTCAAAAGGCATTGCCCGAAGCTATCCCTAGCAGGGAATGGTGCTAAGCAAGAGCACCGGCGCAAGGACCTGTTCTGCTGCTTCTGTGACAAGAAAGGGCATGTCAAGAAGGACTGCGTGCTGAGGCAGTAGTGGCTGGATACACAGGCTAGCTCCTAAGTTGCTGGGGCCTCAGTCTACTCCAAGGACGTGTGTGTAACAGTTTTCCCCTGTTCTCTATAACTTTACACTCCCTCGCACCTCATGCGTCTTACGCCTGTCTATTAGCACCTTCATTGGCGCCATTGCCACATGTATACTATCACATTTTGCATATAACTGGTCGAGGCACGCTCAACCAGGCCTCTTACTTTTCAAGTTTGATTAAACCTGTTACACTGGTAGCAGAGGATGGTTACTACTCTGCTTTTGGCAGGTGTTCTGGTCGCTCTGCTTACGCTCCTCGTACTCGTCGTTCGGCTGATAAACGATATCAAGACCGCTCAGCGCGTTAGCCAAGGAAACCGAACGATACATCCGAACTCGGAACCGTGGGAGCCAACACCCCGCCTTACGAAAGAGCCGCCTGTGTTTGGAGGAGATTCCGCTACATTCAAAGAATGGACGTTTGCAATGGACATGGCCCTACGGTCGTTGGCACTCCCAAATGCGGCACAGAGGGTCGACTACGCGGCAGGATTTTTGACTGGAAACGCTCGTCTTTGGTTGATAGCGGCATTGGAAGCTAACCAAGTGTTTTCCGACTGGCCTGCTCTGAAAGCGGCACTTGACGATGTGTACGGACCGCGGCACAACGAGGAAACATCGCGTATGGGACTAATTTCCGCAGCGCAGCGCGGGTCGCTGGACGCATACATTGCTGCTTTCACTCGCCTCAGCCTGCAAGTGCCGGAAATCGACCACCACACCAGAGCGCTGCTGTTCGTCAGGGGTCTAGTGCCGCACATCCAGCGACAGGTCATGCGTGAGCATCCACGTACCCTGGAGCAAGCTGTCATGGCAGCAAACACCGTGGAGCAGTCGTCAGGGCCACCGGCGTCGGGGCCACCAGCCAGTAGAGAGTCGCGTTCCGTGCCCAGCTTCCGTGGTCAGGGCCTCCGCAAGCTGACGGACCAAGAGCGTGTCCAACTGCGAGCAATGGGACACTGCTTTGCTTGCAGGAAGCCAGGCCACCTCGCTAAAGACTGTACTGAGGGTGGACAGCGCTACCCAAACGCTGGTCGCCAGTAAGAAAGGGGGTGCGCTTACTGGCGACGACCCAAGCACCCACGCCCGTACCAGTCGCTAACCGGTTCGGAGCTCTGGAGGTTGAAGACGTTGCTCTCCAGGAACCTACGGAGCCGGAGACACCCATAGCTGTAGGAAATTGTCCCGTTGCAGAAAGGTGTCATGTCAGCAACGTCAGCGTCGGCAATGAACCTGAACACGACCTACTGCGCATACAGGGAAAGATCGGCGGTCGCCGTGCAGTGATGCTGATAGATTCTGGTTCGACGCATGACTTCATAGCAGACAGTTTTGTTCGAAAGCATCATCTTGACACGGATGCAAGCTCAGCAGTGCTGAGCGTAACATTGGCGGACGGCTCGACCAGCGAGGTCCCGCAGATTTCCACACGCACGCTAAGGGTGACAGTCGGGGGCTTCAGTGAGGAACAGCACTTTACTGTGTATCCCCTGACTCGCTACGACGCTATTCTTGGCAAGCCGTGGCTTACAAGGAACAACCCCAGCATCAACTTCCGTACGAACGAAGTTCAGTTGGACGGTGAGCCCTTTGTTGCCAAATTGCCTTCAGCTAACCCGCCGACAGCCGACCGGCCATCTGTGGAAAGCATGTTTATCAGTGGCCGACAAGCTCGTCATGCCCTGAGGAGTGGAGCCGAGGGGTTTCTTGCATGGGTCACTGCTGCAAACGAGGAGAATCGTTCCGGGCCACAACTCCAGGAATCAGAACAACAAGACATCCAGAACCTGCTCAAGAGGTACCAGGATTTATTTCCAGACGAGCTGCCGAATGAGCTTCCACCGAAGAGACCAGTCGACCATGAAATCCAGATAGAAGATGGAGCCAGACCACCGTCTCGACCCGCCTACCGCCTGCCGAAACCAGAGATGGACGAGCTCCAGTCACAGCTGTCAGAATTACTTGAGAAGGGATTCATTGAGCCAAGTAAGTCGCCATACGGTGCACCTGTGTTTTTTGTGAAAAAGTCGGATGGTACTCTGAGAATGGTGTGCGATTGGCGAGAATTGAATAGAATTACGATCAAAAACAAAGCTTGTCTTCCTAATATTGATGACTTATTCGACACGATCCAGGGCAGTGCATATTTCTCCAAGTTGGACTTGCGGTCGGGGTACAATCAAATCAGAATTCAAGACTCTGATGTTTCTAAGACGGCCATTAATACGCCGTTCGGCCACTTCCAATTTAGAGTCATGGGATTCGGGCTGACTAATGCCCCGGCCACCTTTCAGTCACTCATGAACTCTATTCTGCAACCGCATCTCCGAAAATTCGTTGTAGTATTCTTGGATGACATTCTAGTTTTCAGCAAGACCTGGGAAGATCATCAGCATCATCTTCAAACAGTTCTAGAAACACTTAGAAATAGTGAGCTGTATTGCAAACAGTCTAAATGCGAATTCGGCGTGAGAGAAGTTCTCTTCTTGGGGCATAATATCAACGGCACATCAATTTCCCCTGATCCCAAGAAGATAAGTGCTGTGGAAACATGGCCAACTCCGTCGTCAGTAACTGATGTGAGGAAGTTTCTTGGCTTTGCAAACTATTTCCGAAGGTTCATAGATCGACACTCGACCATCTCTCGTCCATTAGAAGAAATCACCGGAAAAAATTCACGCTTTGAATGGAGCGCTGCTAGACAGAAGGCATTCGAGTCTCTAAAATCAGCATTACTCGAGGCGCCAGTGTTGCAACTGGCCGATGTTGAGAAAAGCTTCACGGTAGAAACTGACGCAAGTGACTTTGCCGTGGCGGGTGTGCTCCTGCAGCAGGGAGAAGATATGGATTTGCATCCCGTAGCCTATTGTAGTCGGAAACTGTCAGCTGCAGAACGCAACTATACTGCGGCCGAGAGGGAAACGTTGGCTGTGGTATTTGCATTAAAGTGCTGGAGAATCTATCTATTCCGCCACTTTGACCTGATGACTGATAATATGGGTGTTGTCTATTTACGAACCAAACCGACTCTCACCAAGCGTGAGGCAAGATGGGTAGAGTTTTTAGCTGACTATGACTTTACGGTCTTTCACAAACCAGGAAAGAAAAACATTGCCGACCCGCTTTCACGCCGTCCAGATCTGTTCAGTGATTCTGAAATAGGCGGGTCATCCTATCCTCCTAACATTCAGTTGAATGCCATAGAGCATACCCTAGAGATTAATCCAGACTTAGCGCAGTTAATTGTCAGCGGTTACAAGTGCGACAAGGATCTTGCTCCCATTATCAGGAGACTGAAAAATTCAAGCCATGACAATCTGCACGACCGTTACCTTCTAAATGAAACACCCGGTTATCTTTATCTCAGATCTTCACCACAGAACAGGTTATGCATTCCAAAGAGTAGCAAACTCCGACTCGCCCTGCTTCAAGAATACCATGACTGTGTGACTGCGGGGCATCCCGGTCGAGATCGCACCTATTTCAGACTCGCTAGATATTTCTATTGGCCCAGAATGGGACTGGATGTAAAGGCGTTTGTCAAGTCATGTGACGTCTGCCAACGAGTTAAAGGCGGCCAGCTAAAAACTGGTCTCTTGCAGAATTTACCAGTGCCCAGTCAGCCGTGGGCGGATATCTCGATGGATTTTATCATGGGTTTGCCTAGGACCGATACAGGTCATGATGCTATATATGTATTTGTAGACCGCTTGACAAAGTGTGTACACTTAGCACCTACTTCCTCTACTATTGACGCTAAAGGAAGTGCTGATCTGTATATTCAACATGTATTTCGACTTCATGGTTTGAGTTCTAGTATTGTATGTGATCGTGATCCAAGATTTACGGCAGCATTTTTTCAGGAATTGTTTGATCGCTTAGGAACGAAACTAGCATTTAGTACTGCCAATCACCCTCAGACAGATGGCCTAACTGAACGAGTAAACAGAATAGTAGAGGATGTGCTGAGGGCTTTTGTAAATCATAAACAAGATAACTGGGATATGCTCCTACCTCTCTGTGAGTTTTCTATCAACAGCGCTACTCAATCATCTACAGGAAACACACCGTT